TTTTTTTTTTTTTTTTTTTTTGAATTTTTTGGACTTCTCTTAAAGCTAAAAAGTGAAATAATAATAATAAATTTATCAACAAGTAACAATTAAGATTACAAATCATGTACAAAATCCAATTAGTCCTCATAGCAGCTTCAATATAATATAATTTCCTGCTGTCATTTTAGATATTCATGCAAATGAGGACAAAGATTGTGACAACATTAAATTATAACAACTAATTCATACTAAAAAAAATATATATATCATAATATTATAATTTATAAAAATACTAAAATCATCATCTAATAACATTGTATCAAACAATCAAATCATAAAAAGTCTAAATATCAATAGCTCATTAGTAGCACATCATAATTTTGCATCCACAAAAAAACAAATAAATATTCAGAAAATCAATAACAACACATAAAATGGCATAAAATCAACAACACATCATTAAATATTGACTTCGGTTCAATTACTCACATTTGATTTTATTTTTTAATTTTATAAAATATTTGTACGCTATCTGATTTTTTTTTTCCCTCTTACACAAAAATGATAATGCAAAGTTATTGATTGTTGTTCTTATATTTTTAAAAACAACTAAATAAATATAATTAATAGCCTTTATTGACCTCTCTATTTCTCAGTACGTAAATATTATCACGTGAATGCTTATTTATAATTTATATATTTAAATTATGTACTTCTCATTTGGTTAGTTGAAATTAAATTTTCAGCTGTTAATCAAGAAAACTTCGAAGAAAAGAGAAAATAAATTTGTTGATGTACATAACTTGATGTAAACATAAATTGGGTGAATTTGTTATCCATAACAAAAATGAAAGTGGAATAGGGAGTTTCTTTGAATTGATGACTCATTTTGTTTTTAATTTCATTTATCTCTTTGACATATATATCTCTGATTTAATTTCCGATCTCGATGTACAAGGTTGACCAACCGATTGGTGCTCATATGAAGGAGAGGATGGACCATAGGACTCGGTTTCTTCTTTTTTCGGACATGGGATTCATTGAGGCGGGAAGAATTTGATTGCACTTCTCCATTTTCTACGTAATTTTGTCTAAACGGACTTGAGAAGCCTCTTGAGTCGAATTGGATGGAGGTGTCTCTTCATAATAATCAATCAAGACGTACCACAAGCGTCTAAGCATAACACGATTACAAAAATCGAACACAAGGCAAGAATGTTTCAAGACAACTAATCGAGAACAAACAAGGACAAAACAATTCCATGAACTCAAATTCGGGTTCTAATGTCAACGAATCATCTTTTAATTTTAGGAAACCGTCCAATTCATCAAGCACATAAGACACAAAAATGAATAATGGAACCAATCAACAATTTCAACTCACCACTTAGCCATTTTGCTTTGAACAAACATTGAGTTTCATGAGGAAAAATCGAATCGAAGCAAACATAAAAATTAAAACAAAAACCGGTCCAAGATGCACAAAACTCAAAAAATAAAACACCTAAAACGAAAGAAACAACGCCTAAGCATGCATAATCAAGAAAATTCCTCCCCCACACTTAAAACAAAGCAATGTCCCCATTGTTTGACCAAAAAACATAGGAAAGGAATACATAATCACACAAGCTCATGTGACCGCGCGTCGCAACGCGGCAAAATTAAAATTTATATTTTTCCTTGACTAATCTCTACTAACTAGTAAAAGTGACGAGTAAGGGTCGAACCCACAGGGAGTGTGAATCAAGTTGTGATATTCTTGTATTAAATGAATTATAAAAGCGATAAAGAGAGGATTGGATTTAATAACTAAACTAATTAAAATTCTAATAAAACAAATAAAATCTAAACAAACGAAATAAAAATAAAAATAAAATAAATAAGAGAAATTTCTAGTTCACGGTTCCGTCTACACCTCGACTGACTCATCCAATCAACTTTGGTATCAAATCTCGCTATCTTATGAAATTACTACCCCTAGGTAACGACACGGTCCGTTACCCGAATTTTTCCTTATTTTTAATCTAACCGCGAGACGCTCTATGATTAGACCTGACTCTTGTACAATCTAGAAACCTCTTCTTAGATTTAATACAATCAGCCGCTTTACGAATTAGAAAAGTAGGCTAGACTAAGTAGTGACGCGTTCGTTCACTTAAATAGGCCGTGTTATTCCCGGTAGTTACCATCTTCCGAATACCACTTGCGAATTAAACACATCAACAATTACGGATTGAAGGCCTAATTCAGGTGTAGATATGTAAAGCCTAATCTAGGTGATCAATCTAAATAAGACTCAACACATTATGGTTAATTATTCAAAATAACACAAGCAATTCCAAAGAGATATTAAAATAATCAACCATATAATCAATCAAAACATAGTCAATCGTAGGGTTCGACTTTCCCGGAACTAGAAATAAAAACTACTCTAGCATACTAAATAAAAACAAAAGAAAGAGAATATAATTATCCTCTTTCGTGTGTGGTGCGGTCTCCCTCCGCGTTTCGTCGGGAACTCTCGCGTATGTCTGCTATGCTTCGTTCTCTGTTCTGAATATCTTTACCTCCGTGGCGGCTCTGTATGCGTGGCTGCGGCTCTCCAAATATATATACTGTCAGCAAATAAATCCTCCCAAAATTAACTTGTGAATCCTCTCCAATTCAGGTGGCGTGAATGGGTTGCTAACTAATTAATTTCATGGCCTAACTTTGGGCTACTGACACTTTAATTTCAATGTAGGCCCACTTTCAAAATTCCTGCCCCAAATGTATTAATTTTCTGGCCCATGTTACGTGGAGTGCATGGAAATAAGTATATGCTTGGGCCTTCAAACACAATAAGCACACACAGGCTTTGGCTGGTAGGTCAGTACGGGGCACCCCGTACTGCTCCGGATGAAATTTCTTCCAATGTCACGTCACCGCTGAAAACACTCTAATGTCCTAGAAATAAACCATAAAAATATCAAAGTACAAAAATCCATCTAATAAATAAATAAGTCAGAAAATATATAAGTGCGATAAAATCAAGCATATAAAATACGCTAATAAATATATAAAACACACACTATTTCCGACTAATCAAATCTCCCCAAACTTAAACCGTTGCTTG